TTTCTGGAGGGTCTAACTTATGCTGTCATTTGATAACTGTTTTGAGGGGACATTCTCTAACAATCCATTACACACTTCCTGCTCGGCACCAAATGACACAGTTAGAGGCTAGCTGCTAAACAGCTATAGCAAAGGATTTCCCTCTGGAGTTGGTAGAGACCACATACAGAGCTCAAAGAGAGTGAATATGTGGACTGCATATGTTAGATGCTCAGAAATAACTCCAAATGAATGATAGTATGGTCAAATAACTGCTAGATGGATATATGATCAACTTTTTGCAAAAATGTTTGCATTTCAACATGGTGATGGCTGGCGTTGCTAACTGCGCAGACAGTGCAGACAACAGCAACAGTAATGATGGAGAAAAAATAGCCTCAACATAAATAGGAACCAGAGGGTGAGTTTAACGTTTCTGCGGCAACCCCACCGATCAGGACGGCATTATCAGCGGTAAAGAGCAGAGGCTATTAGCTAGCCACTAATAGGACTCACATGCACAATCATCCACTTGTGGTCAGACTGTAAACAAAGCACGGAGAACATCAGGTTGCATCACTTCATCCTCTACTCAGAACGCCATTACTCCACTAAATCTTTAAACAGCAAATAGTTTCTACATCAATTCCCTAAATGCTGTATATATAACTTTTAAATATTCAACTATATACTATACACTTTGTGAGGTAGCTGTCAGTCAGGAGCAGAGAATATGCTGGGGGAATAGGTGTTGCTGAAGGCCAAGCTAACAGCAGAGAGTCAGCAAACATCCGACCCTGAAACATCCTCTCATCCCTACGAGTTCCGAGGTAGTGATGGCAACACAGTCACTAGCACACACTGCAAACTCACACACAAACTCACTGCGTGCTCACAGCCTTACACACTTGACAGAAACGTCTCTTTTTTGAATTTGTCTTTTCTTTTTTCTGTTTGGGAAGAGAAATAATTAAAGCCAGAAGGTTTTTTGCTGACAGTTGAGGAGGAGTGCAGCTAAAACAGCAGCCTTGGTTGAGGCGTGTAACATTTAAACGTGGGTTTTGTGGTGAAATGATTTAATGAATAACAAATACAAAAAACGATTCATATTATTTTCCTTCTAGGGTAACATTCTTTTTCACATTTCAAGAGCTGGCTGTGGCTCAGGAGGAATAGTGGGTCGTCGTTTAATCTCAATGTTGACGGTTTGATTCCTGACTCTGCATGTCAAGTGTCCTTAAGCAAGATGCTAAACCTCAAGTTTAACCCCATGCAGGCAGTATGACACCATCAGTGTGTGTATGAATTACATTATTAACACCTGATTGCTGCTGTTTTAAAAAGTGCACAGTATTTAATACAATTATTACACTTTTCAACATTAATTTACACAATATTAAAACAAAAAAAACAAAGGAAATCTAAAAATGAACAAAGATAATTCAATTATTTGCATTTTCATAAAGGTGCTGATTTGTGAGCATCCCACAAACGTTGGCAGGGACCCTCCATGGGAATGAGCTGCACAGAGTCCGGAGGGGAGAGAGGGGGAGATTACTCTTATCAGGAAGCTCCCACTCTGACTGTCATTTGTAATGCAGAGCTTATAGCGCATGCTTCTCGCCAACCTTCAGGAGATGCGGACATTGAAAAATAGGTGGCTGTCTGGCTCCCCTCTACCTCACTCCCACCCTCCCCCCCACCCTCTGACTGTCTTATCTAGAGAGCTCCAGCACAGTGCTCACCTGCTCAAAGCTGGAAAAGACAATAACATATCTGTTTCCACCTCACACACTCTGCTAATAACTACTGAGACGGGACATCTTTCATTTCCTATCATAGCTGGTGAGGACCCTTTTGCCGGTTAAGTGTACAAATTTAACCGGCAAAAGGTTGTCATTGTATATCACCGAGGTAGTCTTATTCAGTGTTAGTATCCCTTTTGGGCAAACAATCTAAATCTACCCCATACTTAGCCATACTTTGTGCCTGCTTACTGTTGCGTCTTCAAGAAGGGGTGATAATTGTTATATCTTTCAATGTTATCCATGATGTTTTATGTGGTGCTATAACATATATGTCAATAGATGAAGTACACATTGCACTTAGTAACAATTTAACAATTTGATTACATCTATTGAAGCTCTTATGCTCTCCTGTGTTTAAAAAAACGAATGCAATCAAAAAATTATTTGCAGGGCATGCACTCAATAAGGCAAAGACAAGATTATGATGTATAACACTTTTAATACACTTTTTTTTTTTAAATTAAATTAAAACCACACATTTAAAGCACATGATTATTTAAAGTTGTGCAATGTGCCACTGTGATAAATGTAAACAGCAGGAAGTCTAAAATTAGAGATTAGCAGATTGCAATAACAACAGAAGTTCTCTTTCTACGTTGCAGCGGAAATACATTTGTATGTAATTATTTTCTGTTCATTATCTATCCTCCTACATTGATCAAACTCACAGCTGGCTAACATATTTTGATGGGGAAGTTGAGACTAATATAACTTACTGCGGGAGGTTTAAAATCAATATCTCTATTTTTGACATCCAAAGATTTGTACTGGTGACAATTCTTCAAACATATGCAGCCACCAAAGAAGCTGCTTGATTCTATAAGGGAGTGTGTGTCATACAAACCATTTTTGTTAAACAGTATTAAGGGTTGGCTATAAAAGAGGAAACGGATCCTTGTCATTTATTTATGACTACCTGCAGTGCTACTATGCACAATCAATACATGCAAACTTAATGACTAAGTAATCAAATGCAGTCTGTGTCTGTTATAGGATTTTTAAACACCAATGAACTGTACAGCAGGGGCCAGCTCTTTGCCTTGCCAATAAGGCTGTTTCTGCTTGAGCTGCTCCGTAAAATGTGGTTCTATTATCAGCTCCATTAGGTATATTTCTGTGTAATGACACTCCACCCGCCAACGTTTTTCTCTCGACCCTTGTCATAATAACCCCTTTTACATTTCATTTTTTTAGCGGGCAGCGCTTATTCTCAACCACTTATATTCAGTCAGTGAACACAAATTAAAGGACTCCAGAGCCCTGGGAAGCACGTCGCACAACTAGTGAAATGGTTTGTTTTAGTTTCAAGGGAGCAAAGGTACGAGCTAAAGTAATCCATGTGGTGCTAAAAATTCATCGGAGCAAGGCTAGATACACCACATATCCTCCGTTATAGTTTGTTGTCACAGTTTGGTGTTGAACCGCCTCGGCTGTCCTGATGTAACATATCCATCACATCTGTGGGTGCTGGAGGGGAAGATTGGAGAGGAGCACATCTGCTGTAAGAGGAGTGGAGAATGAACTGTTAGTGTCATGGCCGGACCACAGGATCAAAGATGAATGCGCCATTCACAAAGGTGACAGTCAACAATAAATGTGTCACCGGTGACACATTTAGGGAGTTCACAGAAAATACTGTCTTTGTGAAGCTCATAATGTTCTCTTCAGGTGAAATATTTTAAGTCCTTGTTTGTAGTGTTGTTGTCATGGAGAGCATTGCATTATTAGGTATTCTCTATCTGCAATTTGTCTGGACAAAATAGTAGAACTCCTCCAATTTTGTGACACTAAAGGATAAACTGTAGCAAAAAGATGGCCTGCTGTACCTACGTAAGAAGAAATGGTTGCAGTTTATACAAAGATGTTCTTAGTTTACTGTCCTCTTTGAGATATGAAATAACACAACTTTACAAAGGAGGCAGAGTATTTTTCGCATATTCAGTCTCCTTTTCTCAGTTCTCCCATTCATCTATGATTGATTTTATTTTTGCAGACAGTAATATGGTGCTGGCTATGTGAGTATGAAGTGTGATTTATGCGAGGCACTTGATAGTGGAGCCATACAAGATGGGGCTGAGCAGGTTTCTTCTCTCCACCCCCCCCAACACTCTGCCCTGACGATCCATGAAATAGTGCAGAAAGATTGAACTTATCCTTATATAAATTACTCTCTGTATGCCCCACCAAGACAAGCACATTTAAAAAAAGAGACATTTTTGCCCTATTCTGCTCATTTTCAGGTTCATATTTGTATTTTGTGTCTCTACTGTGACATGTTTACATGCTTAAATGTTCAAAAAGCTCTTTATTTTGCTCCTACTTTTTCACCCTCTGTCTGAAACCAGAGCCCAGTCTGCTCTGATTGGTTAGCTGGCCGGCTCTGTTGTGATTGGTCAACTGCTTAAAGATGTCCCGCCTGTCAAGCACGCTTCAACACACTTACAATGTGTTTGAGCGCTAACTAGCCAATACAAGTGGGAGTGTTACATAATGATGTGGGGGGGGTTTATATGGATTTGAACCTTTATAGACCATTTACATGCACGGAAACCTATATAACACACTACAGGTAAAAGAAAAACCTCAAAAAGCAAAATAGGGCCCCTTTAATGTGGCACATTTGTCTGCTGTGGCTCCTTTTGAAGCCAAGTGAAGTCCTCGCTGGACTTCCAGTGAGTCAAATTATGATTAAACAACTGTTTCTCTTTGCTGCTGTTTTCATCTTATTGTTGCTTCTTTAACAGCACTAAATATTTAAAGGTCACACTTCTCTCCTTTTCTCACAATTCCCTCCAACAGGTTCAACAGGCATCAGCATAGATAGATTTCATTATAACATCAATGGCTTGTCTCTTCTCATCTCTTGGACCCCACCCACCCCTTTGATGCTTATTACCCAGAGTAATTTGGCACTGCAGTTATTTCAATTTCAAATAAAAACCATGACCTCCTATGGTGATGTTAAATCGATTTTACATTTCACGCATAACCATCTCCGCAGTGGCATAGCTTTTCAAAAGGAAACACACCTCTGAGATTGAATTTTAGTATTCATTTGACCTTTCCCTAGCTACTGGAGTTACATTTTCTGGGCTTAAAAACTGTTAAGCCTGTCAGAATCAAATCAAAAAGCCACACTTGCTTTTAATCAGAATATCTTGGGCAGTGTTTTGATTTTTGCTCAAGCTCCATTTTGTTTCTGTGTGTGTTGTAGTCCTGCTGCGCGAGGAGGTGGCCCAGCTCCAGGAGGAGGTGCACCTGCTGCGGCAGATGAAGGACATGTTGAGTAAGGACCTGGAGGAGACCCAGGGGAGCTGCTCCGCCGACGTGCTCTCCGCCACCGAGCTCCGTGTGCAGCTGGCCCAGAAGGAGCAGGAGCTGGACCGGGCCAAGGAGGCTCTGCAAGGTAGGGACCGTGTACGAGAAACTGTGTGTGTTACTGTAAACATAAACATCATTACGGTCATATGGACAATGATGCTGCAAGACATAGAAGGCCAAGACAATAACATAATCAGTTTAATTTAAAGGTCTCCTATCATGCAAAATGCACTTTTTTATGTCTTTTATA